ACAATAATAAATTACATTATAAGTATATTAAAATAGAAAACATTTAAACAGTTTTTAAATATTTTAATTGTAACAATATTACACAATATTAAAGTTTTCTGTATTTCTGATCAAATAAATGCAGCCTTGTTAAGCATAAGAGACTTCTTTTAAAAACATTTAAAAAATTTACTGACCCAAAACTAAAACTTAAATGGTAGTGTATAAATGAACTGGAACCTCATGTTTTACACTTTTACCATTTTACTGTGTAAAATGTAAACACAATTCAGAGTGCAACTTTTCGAAATAACACTGAATATGCTACTCTTACTCACAAACAGAAACAAATGCTGTGTACCATCCTGAAATTGTGCCATTTTGAAGAATTTGGAAATACTGAAACATATCTGTTTGTTTTTTGCCTCCTATGGGTCCCATCAATGTTTAAGCCAAACCTACACAACTGCATACACACACATGCAGCCAGCATAATCTGTTAAGACTCTGCATAGACTGTTACATCAACATGACAATTACATTTTGTCCCTACTTGCTGTAGGTCAGGGGTCAAAGTCATTTGCACATGGACTGAGCTAAATTTTTCATGTATTTTCTCGAAACAGAATCTTAAGACAGATGTTTTTGCCCTTGTTTGATTCTATAACATTGCTTCCTTTGCACAAGCTCAGAATGACTTTATAGGATTAGTATGAGATTGATTCTTTGTCTTCATTCATAGAGCGTGTGCAGTTAGCTGACTGCAGTGAAGTGAATGCCACACCAATCTCAGCCCTGCATTCTGCCACCCTGCCAAGATTTGCATCAACACACACACACACACACACACACGCATAGATGACATCAACAAATCTGGTTAGTATGATGTGCTCCTTGCTTACTTCAGCATTGTGCCTATTTTTATACACAATACATAATGCAAGCGTATCTTTTACAACTGTCAGCTGTCTTTCTTTCCTAAATAAAGAGAGACACTACTTTAATATATATTTACAAATCTTTCTAAAATTAACACAAATGCAAACTCATACACAAACACACGCAGAGTATTCTCCTATAAAAATGATTTGCAGACAGTGTATGCAGTGAGTGCACAGAAAGGTTGATAATCAATAGTGCAGTGTGAATGTTTAACTTTGGGCTCTCTCAATCAATACAGAGCTCTGAACAAGAACTAAATATACCATTCTGCCTGGAGTCAGTGAAAGATTGAGAGAAAGAGTCAAACAAATACAACCAGTCAGCCATCAGAAAGAAAATCAACTGTATGTCCAAAAGTAGGAATTCTATAGCATTTTGTACAGCATTTAAAAAAAAATTATGCTGCAAGTAAATGTTGGCATCAGATTTCATTTAACAGTTAATTTTTAAATCATTAGTGTTTTTAAAGATGAACTTTAAGCAAGTGGTAAATAGTGGCAAAGGTGATCTAAATGTAAAAATGCACAATTACATATCTAATCAAACATGTTAAAGGGGTCATATGATGCGATTTCAATTTTTCCTTTCTCTTTGGAGTGTTACAAGCTCTTGGTGCATAAAGAAGATCTGTAAAGTTGCAAAGACTAAAGTCTCAAATCCAAAGAGATATTCTTTATAAAAGTTGAGAGTCAGCCACACCTACCTAAAACGGCTCGTTCTAACACACCCCCACATACCTACGTCACGATCTCGGAAGATTTGCATAACGCCGCCCAAACGTTCACGCAAAGAAAGAAGGCGTAACTTATTCTTGCTGTTGCCTCCGCCGCCATGTTGTGGAGTCGTTGTGTGTTTCGTTGTGAAAGCGAAACTACTTTGTTTGACCTTCCAAAAGAGGACGATATCTGCTTTGTCATGCCTGGAGCTGATCCGTGCTGGCATAAACACATTTCATTACACCAAATACACAAAATAATGTTATTTTTAGCAGCATCATATGACCCCTTTAATACTTACAGTACTTTTTAAAAGTATAGGTGAGTCTTGGAGAGATTAAGAGACTTAAAATAATAATCTTACCGACCCCAAATATTTGAACGGTAGCGTGTATATTACAGTAAGGGTAGCGAGCCCCTCAGCTCCGCTACGTTCCCGGGCGGAAGAAACTGAGGGGAGCGCACGCTGGAGACTGCTGCGCCCTGAAGCATCATCAATGGCAGGGATGGCAGAAAAATCTCCCGAGGGCACTGAGGAGAGACGGACACCGTATACTGCGGTGCACCCCGCTTTTCCCCAGTAGGGGCCGCCCCCGAAGGCCCTGAACCTCTCATGTCAGGGCCTTTTGGCCGAGGACTTCCTCTGAAGCACGTCCCTCAGGTCAGGCTTCGACTGCTACACCTCGGTGTGGAGATCGGGGAAAAACGGTAGGCTCCGGCGCGGAGGTGGCAGTTTACTCCGCAGAAAGCGCTCATCTAATTTGCTTTTCTGAGGTTCAGCTTGTTTCTCGGCCGGCCAATCGATATTTAATTTAGCTATGGCACAAGTGACCACCTCCAATAACTCCTCATACTGTGCTGTGTGAGGAGCCTTCATCTAGCTCCTTAAGCAGGTCGGTTTGGTACGCCTGTAACACCGCCATGGTGTGCAGACACGCACCAGCCTGACCTGCCGCCGTATACCCCTTGCCCACCAGGCTCGATGTTGCACGTAACGGCCTGGAGGGCAATGCCGGAGCCTTTAATGACGATGCCGCGCCGGGGGACAGAGAGCTTGCGACCGTCTGTTCCACCCAGGGCATTGCCTTATAACCATGATCACTAACCCCCGCCAAGTTTGCATAATGAGAGGAAGCGGGGGTAAATAGACGTGCTGAATATGGTCTCACCCACAACCTCGACACCTTGGTGTGGAGATCAGGGAAAAACGGTAGGCTCCGGCGCGGAGGTGGCAGTTTACTCCACAGAAAGCGCTCATCTAATTTGCTCGGCCGGCCAATCAATTTTTAACTTAGCTACGGCATGAGTGACCACCTCCAATAACTCCTCATACTGTGCTGTGTGAGGGGGCGAATCCTCATCGGCGCTCTCCACATCAACCTCCTCGGAGGAAGATAGGCGGAGCGTCGAGCCCGTTCCCCGGGGGGAATGACTGACACAACACGGAGCGCTTCGCTTAATGACATAAAGCTGAAGCTGGTTCCACCTCACGTGCCTTTATAGCTTCCTGGTCGCTACGTCTCCCGCCTATGACTCGCCCTTCCATTGGACTGATTACACATGTGATTCAGAGCACGGTCACGCTGGGGGCGTTCCCGTAGTGTCTTCGGACGCAGCTCGAGTTCCTGAAGGGGAATCTCTAATATTGACGAATAACCAATATATGTGCACCAATATATTGTGCATCCCTAGACAAACACTACACCCATATGTGCTTGTTAAGCCTTTTTAACTATGGGCATTATTAGGCCCCCTAATAAAGGGCCTAGGAATACAGTATTCCTTGCAGTGTATGTAATGCAACAAAATACAATGATGATCTAAAATTTTTGCATACAGTGAGTTCGTCACAATAGTCCATGCCAAAACTGTCAGTTGACACAGAAATGACTCCCAACAGAGTCAAAGCCCCTTCTTTTCATGTCTCATTAGCATGTAATACGCATGGAAGGAAGGCTAGACAGAAAGACAGACAGAAACAGCAGAGAAAAAAAGTATATTGAAGAACGAGAGAGACAGGGAGTGTCATGCTTTTCACAGTTAAGTAACACAGTCCAGTTATCTACGGTAATGACAGGTCCATAATTAGCACAAAGCTAATTCACTGTGATGCAAAAATGGCCTACTATCTCTCTTTTCCTCCGTCCTTTCATCGTTTCATCTGCCACATGATTTCTGGGCATTTCTTCTCTCTGCTTCCTGCTTTGTCTGACTCTCTGCACACAGGCTTTGTTTCCTCAATATTGCAAGGAAACCTCTTGTGATAAACTAAATAAATAGCATGATCATTAAGGACGAACCAAAAAAAATAAATGTTGATTTTTTTTGTATGAAATGTTTCCAAATCATAAAACACTCCAGACACTCGAGCTGTACAAGTGCTGGCATCAAGTTAAAGGAACATGATCAATTTATTCATGCGGCTGAGGAAATAAATCAAACACACCACAAATCAAATCACACGTTTGCTTCTAAGTTCTCTTCTAAATTATGAACTTTCTCTCTTTTGTGAATTTATATTCATTGCATCTGTATTGGAAATAATACTTTTAATAAGACCAACACGGAATCTGCTGACTTTGCATTTTCTATGTTTTGGGGAAAATCTGCAGAATTTTGTGGAATGGATTTAAATGTGGAAAAATGTGGTAATAGTGAGTCTTATTAGCTGCTTAAAGCTTTTCAACTTCAAATGTGCTTTAGTACTGCTCTTCGCAAAGTAGCTGGACCTTCTTTTATTGTTAACAAACATGATGTAAACACATGAGCACCAATGACTGAAGCCGGGAACGTTCCCGGCAAATCAAATCAGACATCTCTGAAAATAAAACATTATTGTAGGCTTACTGGTAAGGCTAGAATACTGATTTGACTCATTAATTCATTTGCTGTGGAGTTTTGCAGACACAGATTCCATGTGGGCATGTTCAATAATGCTGCCAAAGAAATTATAGAAAAAATGCTAAGCTAATGCTAATATGGGTTTCTATTAGTGGCCAGTACTCACGTTTATCCATTATTTATCCAACTATGTTGGAACTGGGTGTCTCATTCTCCCTGTCTCTCTCTCTCTATTTTTCTGTCAGTCATTCTCAGTATTAATGCATTAGTAACATTGTGGGCGATTCCTCTGGGAGTCAGTCAAATGGTCTTACACCCCTCTATGCCATAGGGAGGTCTTTAAAGCGAGGAAACATGACAGCATTATACCTTACCTCCGACAGTAGCTATCCCAAAGCCCAAAAGTCCTTCTAAAGTCTTGAAATTACACTGTGGAGCAAACAGCTTTGCATCACTGAGGGGGG